TATGTACTGCTTGCAAATTCCATTTTTACCTCTAGGGGTCAACATTGTCTATTCACTTCAGCAGAAAACAAGATCGAAGGAAATTGCGCTGTTAGCATGCCAAAGGTGTACATTGGGGAAAACAAAATACTAAATACATATAGGGATTCGTTTCTTTGTTTCTTTAGGCTAAACTCAAGGTATTTTTAAAGAGTGAAAGTGTCTTGATTTGATTCTGTGGCAGACTTTAGTGTTTACATGTATTTATGGCTTGCAGAAGGTAGTCCTTGGAGACATACTCTACTCAGGGTAGTAGAACCAATATTTATGAATGAAGCACCACTGTTTGCAGGCTTGATACACCGAGAAGCCTTTGTTAGCTCTTCAGAAATACAGAGTGGGGCCTTGCTGTCAGTTTGGATCAAACAGAGTTCATTTGGGGAATAGGGAAACCTAGTTGTATAAAGTTAGCCCAAGTTCTTTAGTATACATCCCCTGTTCAACTTCTAAAAAACTGTTAAGGCCCAGCTCCATACAGATTCTTTACTTAGCTTTGAACAGAGTGTGAAAGGTTTTTATTACTTTTGCTGTCTGTGACTCCACTGGGAAACCCCTCTGTCTCAATGACAGTATTGTGAAGCCACGATAACCAAATTAAGGTTCTAACTTTTCCATACTGTACTAAAGAAATGTGAGAGATTTCTCATCCCTTCCTGTCCCTCTGACTTCATGCCACTGGGACAGAAAGTGAGAAGAAATCTTACTGATGGTGATATAACCTGTAATAGAAATCTGATAGAGGTTCTAACCCTTCCTTACTCTATCCAAATCAAAAATCAGTTGATTTACTGATGGCTGTTATTTTATCTCATCATCATTTTTACAATACAGATGACGTTCTATTATAAAAAAATGAGAGAAATTTCACTTAAAGCCTAACTCTATTTTGCAATACATATTATCATTATTATTATTATTATTATTATTATTGATCATAGTTAAGACTGCTTAGTATGTGTAAATGTGTATAAATGTGACACAAGACAAGGCACACCCTCAATGTGAGTGTAATGTGACAGTTAAAAAGATATTCAAAAATATATATATATATAACTAAATACATAGTTTTAAATATTGGAAAGTCTACAAATTAATGTACGCCAATTGTTTATCATGCTTGTGACTGTGAAACACTTCTTTTGATAAGATGCCAACTGCCAATGGATGGACATATTGGGGGGGGTTTTAGCCTTATTTTGTGTAAACACCTGTTGTGTAAGCTTGTGTAATGGTTTATTACAACCCCAATTTCAAAAAAGTTTGGACGCTGTGTAAAATCTACATAAAAACAATGCAATGATTTGTAAATCCTATAAACCCATATTTTATTTACAATAGAAAATATCAAATGTTTAAACTGAGAAAATGTACCATTTTAAGAGACAAAATAAGATAATTTCGAAATTGATGCAGCAACACGTCTCAAAATAGTTGGGACAGGGCCATGTCTACCACGGTGTAGTATCCCCTCTTCTTTTAACAACACTTTGTAAACATCTGGGAACTGAGGTGACCACTTGATGAAGTTTTGGGAGAGGAATGTTGTCCCATTTTTGCCTGATATAGGATTTTAACTGCTAAACAGTCCAGGGTCTTCTTTGTCATATTTTTTTGTTACAATATGCACCAAATATTTTCAATTGGTGAAAGGTCTGGACTGCTGGCAGGCCAGTCAAGCACCCGGACTCTTCTACCATGGAGCCATGCTGTTGTCATAGATGCAGTATGAGGTTTACCATTGCCCTCCTGAAATATGAAAGGCCTTCCCTGAGAAATACATTGTCTGAATGGGAGCATATGCTGCTCTAAAACCTGGATATATCTTTCAGCATTGATGGTGCTTTTCCAGATGGGCAAGCTGCCCATTCCATATGCACTAATGCATCCCCATAACATCAGAGATGCAGGATTTTAAACTGAGCACTGATAACAAGCCAGAAGGTCCCTTTCCTTTTTAGTCCAGAGAATGAGGAGCCCATGGTTACCAAAAGGAATGTCAAATTTTGATTTGTCTGACCACAGAACAGTTTTGCACTTTATGACAGAGCATTTTAAATGAGCTTTGGCCCAGAGAAGACAGCTGTGTTTCTGGGTCATGCTCAGATTTGGCTTCTTCTTTGCATGATGGAGCTTTAACTTGCATTTTTGGATGACATGGTGAACTGTGTTCACAGACAGTGAGTTTTGGAAGTATTCCTGAGCCCATGCAGTGATGTCCATCACAGATTAATGCCTGTTTTTAATGCAGTGATGAGGGCTGAGGGCTCGAAGATCACAGACATCCAATATTGCGATTAGTTTTTGTCCCTTGCGCACAGAGAATTCTCCAGATTCAGTTCAGTTTGGCAGCCACATCAAAAATGCATCACAATGCTTTCCTATGGCAATTCTGGTGCTCTGTTCACTCCGTTCTGATGCAGTCATAAACAAAATGCTGTTTGCCCTATTTTAGCTGCATCGGATTGCAATGGAAAGCATCAAAAATGCATGCAAATACACTGGAACGCACCTGAAATCCCATTTTGAGCTAAAAAAAAATGCATCAGTCGCAGTAAAATCGTAGGAACAAGGAACATCGCAGTAAAATCGCGACAAAACACATCAAACTACAGCTGTGCAGACGCACACAGTTCTGGTGTGAACTAGTCCTTATACCCTATCATGTTACTGACCTGTTGCCAATTAACCTAATTAGTTGCAAAATGTTCTTCCAGCTCTTCCTTGTTAGTACCACTTTCTTTGCCAACTTTTTGTTGCCCTGCCATCAAAATGACCTTATTTTCTTTTATATGGTAAATTTTCTCAGTTTAAACATTTGATATGTTTTCTATTGTGAATAAAATATGGGTTTATGACATGTGCTGATCATTGCATTCTGTTTTTATGTAGTTTTTACACAGCGTCCCACCTTTTTTGGAATTGGGGTTGTACATGTTTGCATGTATCCAGAAAGAGAAAAATTGTAGTACACCACAGCGGTCAGCTTGATAAATTCTTCAACGTCAAACATTGAGGGAGAAGGCTGCTGTCCTCGAGGCCACTGGGAAGGATCCTCACAAACATATGAAACAAAATAAAACAAACAGCACCTTCTCCTAGTGCATTAACATTTATTGAATGGAATGTAAAAAAGTAATAAAAAACTAGTCACATAGAGGTATAGCGAAATGAGCAATACCCTGTTTCCCTGAAAATAAGACCTAGTACTATTTTTGGTAAATGCTAAAATATAAGACCTACCCCGAAAATAAGACCTAGTTGTGACCATTGCCAGGGCTGGTGGTGGCATAAGGGGGAACTTGAAGAGCCGCGGGAGAGAATCAGCGGTGCCAATGAATGGAAAGGTACGGCACCCCTGATTGCCCTGATCACACTATTCTTAACTTTGCCATTTTGGATTATTTAATTTGGATTTGCATTAACTTTGGATTGTTATTCATTAAAAAATAAAAATAGGACCTACCCCGAAAATAAGACCTAGTGTGAATTGAGTCTGAGGAGGTTTCAGTGAGTTCAAATTTATAACGAAATATAATTTTTGGTGCCTTAACAGATTTTAGTTGCTCGGTATTTCTTATATCAGGCACATGCAGTTGTCATTGTGTTCCCTCCTGTGTGCAGACTGAATGCATTGCATAGAATTCATCCATGCATGGATCCCCTGCTGATCGGAACTGACAGGTGAAGTCCGGCAGTCTGATATTATGGCATGGTTACCTGCCAAAGCATTCCCCTCCACGCTGCTGTGTCAGCACACTCCTGTGGTTCCACCTTCATCCTGGTCTTCAGGAGACTTCATCCACTTGATTGGCCGGGACCAGATGAGGTAACGTGCGCAGGAGTTACATCATCACAGCATTAATCCTGCCAAGTCTGCACATGCATGGCTCAGTGCACACACCAAAAAAAGGGTTGACTGGCAGATAAGAGTCTCACACAGTCTCATCATTTATAGTGATGAGATTGTCAGGACTTTGCTGACATTGTCAGCACTTTGCTGTCAAGTGCTGACAGGCCCGTCTGTCAGCACTTTTATATACAGGTGAAACTCGAATAATTAGAATATCGTGCAAACGTAATTGCTGCAAAAGGGGCCCAAACAAAGTACTGAGTACATATGCATGCTTGTACTTTTCAGAGGTCCGATATTGTTCTATGTACAATCCTTGTTTTATTGATTGCATGTAATAATCTACTTTTTAATAACCCAGTCTATCACTGCGTCTATTTATTTTACTAGCTGTGATGTCCAAGACAAACATTTTCATCTATTACTATTGATTGCTTTTAGGTTATTATAGTGTGAATAGTGTAGGAGTGAATATTTCAGTTCCTGAAATGGTTAATTATTATGTGGTAACCTACTGGGTTTGATTTAGGATTTTTTGGCTGTATCTGTTTCATCTATCAATTGGTATACAACCATTTCAGGCTTGCAAGCCCTCATCAGTGCAACATATGAAGATGATAGTTTCACAATACCGTATACAGGAATAATTTGAATGACTCTACTCACTTTTATAAAATTACATATGGATCTCTTGTTTCTTGTAATTGTAAAAAATAATGACATTATTAACTATTATTAAATAATTATTATTATTAACTCCTGAAAGTTGAAGCTGTACGGCACAGCATTTTAGTTTGGTTATTTTGGTCCGCCCTCCCACCATCATAACTTGACTGGGTTTCCATTCAGAACAAATACATAACATTTATTAGCTCTTAAATAAAGATGTTAAGATTGAAAGAGATAAGCAGCACTAAACAGGTCTTTTTTTATTGACGAAATGAAAATAACATACATGTTTTAGATAAACTAGACTATCTCTATTATATACAGCAATGAATAGCACATCTGTGTTGTTGGGGTGACAGATGGATTGTTGACTAATACATTGTAGTGCAGCTGATATTTCAGTAACTTGCAGCAGTGGGTCCTTTTGTGTCTTAAGCAATGTCTAGGCTCTCTTGAAAATTCTCTTGGCTTCAGTTCCTTCATAAACGTATGCCTGAAAAAGACCAAACAAAAACAAATGGTTATTGAACCGTGTAAACGGTATTGATTTATAAAACCTCTGCCAGCCATTCAGGTGGCAAATGCCGTACACATGTAATTTCTCCCAATAGGCGGAGCCGAGGATTTTAGGAATTTCCTATGCTCCTTGGCTCCATGTTGTGGCGGCAATGCCGTGCCAATGACATTCTCCCAGCATATGACTTGGTGGAAGATTTATAAATCAACCCCATATTGTGTCCATGTATAAATTGTATGGGTACACTTGAATAGGTCTAACTGTAAAGTGAGTTATGAGCACTGTCAATGACATGTCTGTCCCCAGCCTATTACATTAATGTGTGATTCAAAGATCCTTTGAGTGGCCTGATATGTTGGCAAATGGGCACCGCAGAAACCTACCTGGAATCACAGTTGGCATATAAAATACTAAATATAGATGTCTGCCTTTTTGGTGTTTTGTTATGACCTAATACCAGTTTTTAAAAAATGTATCTTGCTGCATTGACTTGCGTCTGCTAAACAAACTCTCTAAGGTCTGTGCCTGTGCTAGATGTATATGACATTGTGGAGGGGAACAGACATATGGTTAGCGTGCTACATTGACTGACAAGCTCTGCACTGACCTCATCTTCCCTGAACTACCTCTCATTCCGAACCCTTGTCTGGAGTTTGTTACAGTTCCAGAACAGACAAACTATGAAGTTTGCATACATGTTTGCATTTAGTAATAGATAAGAAGCTGGAGCATCGCTTTAACACAAGGATTCTCAAATGTATGTAGACCATGGAGTTCTTCTACTGTGACAAGGCCACCATCTATATTTTTATGTTTTTGTATTGAACACATGGCTTTATGTTTGGTAGTCACTCAAAATGTAATTTCTGGTGTGTATGTTGTGGACACATGAGCTACATATGAAGCTTTATTTGTTAGCCAAGACTTATATTTGCAGTCCCGGTGTGATTATCCAAAACCCTGCAGTCCTTCTGCTGCCATTGTTCCCTTTTAAAGCCAGGGTAATGAAATGGAGAGCTCAGCAGGTAACCTTCACTCTTCTAAATGTTGACAGTAAAGCTTCATAGGAAAATATCATTGTATTTACAGGCTACCCCATCAATCTCCACAAAAAAGTGTGGCCGCACTCGTCTTTTCTAGTTTGGGCAGTCACAAAAAACCTTCCCATTATTATTATCTGCCCCAGAAACCCAGTAAAGTCAAACTTTATCTTTCTTGCTGACTTGAGAACACTTCAAAACTATAAACATTCAGTGTAGGAGTAGCAGAATACAAGTGACATCATTTCCACGCATAGGATGCAAATTTCTAATGGAGACATACCTGTACAAGTTCATCCCCAATTATCGCTCTCCATGTCTTCAGCTCTTTTCCGTTGTCCTTTCTGTTAAATGTCCCTACAAGCTTATCTCCCTCTGAATTCCAGGCGCCCTAAAAGAAGGAAATACAATCTGTCATTTTTTACTACATATTAACAAATGCAAATGAGAGGGTTTTATTTTGTAAATGCCCCTAGATGGCTATACTCTGGGTGGAGGTTTTATAAACAAAGCCCTTTTTGCTTGCTGTGGCCTCTTACTAATTATTGCTCTTTGTACCACCTTCTAAGATAAATCAGGGAATTTAGATATGGTGTATACCTGGCAACATGGGTGTGCCTACTTTAAAGGCTGTACCTTTACTAATATATCATTCAGGCTTAGACATTTTTATTATTTCTATTATTGTTATTATTTCTGTTAGTTAAACATTAGTCCAGATTGTGCTCTTTTGACAATGTGACAGCAACATGTTCAGTAACCATTTGACTCAATACGCTAACATTACGAATCTCAAGAAATAATAGCGATCTGTTTTACAATCCTATCTTCATTTCCATCTCTTAAGGAAACAGTCAATGATGCGACAGATTTACAAGCTGATAGAACAATGGCCGCTAAACTGGATTGGAGCCATAAACATACTTTCCCTGTCTGTGTCAGTCTTTTACATGGCTGTGTAATCGGCGTAATCCTAAGAGGCCTTGCCCATAGAATTCTGGACATATACTTGTCACAATTTCATAGGGGTAAAACTGATTTGAGCATCAGAAGCCATAAATGTCCTGTCTCTATTTTAATAAACTGCATTAGGCTTTTCCAAAACCTGTAGCATTGGTCACAGAGATTTTCCTCTACTGCCATAATTCTTTATGACTTAGGCTGGCCATACACACACCGTAGGGCTGAAAGATAAAAACGACTCGATTTCCCTATATCTTATAAAGAGGGGAGGGATCTCCCCTGCTGGCTATTGTATTCTGTCCGGCTGCAAGAATACGCAAACGGTGGCTGCTGCTGATTAGCTGCAGTGACCCATCGGCCACTGGCTTCTTTTTGTTATGGCCAACCATGGATTAATTTCTGCCTACTCAGCACAAAATGAATCATTGCTCCCTTACAAAAAAGGTGACAAATATTTTGCTGCAAGGGCAGAAACTCAAAAGATCATAGCAATTTTAGAAACCCCCACAAATGTAACAGATGGAGAACAGACTAGCTTGTTCTGTGTACTGTAGGTAATTTGCCACCTTACAGAGGATATTTCGTTTTAACTTACAGTGAGTTCTGTTCCATCTGCAAGGGAATAGTCAAACTGGACTCCAAGGGTGAAATTGATTTCAATGGTTCTGAAGGTGCTGGATTCCTTTACATTAAACTTGTCCCCATCCTGTGTGATTGTGATCTTCAGGTTATCATGTGCAGCCAGCTTACGTTTCATTACATTCACACCTACAAGAGACAGACACATTTTATGTTAAAGGAATAAACTATTGTGAAATGAAGTGTTTTTATCACACACAAAAAAAAAGGAATAGCAGGAAATGATATCATGAGATAGATTATAGAAAATATTGGACTAAAGATACTTAAAAAGGTCACACTTTCCTTCTCAAGAAGAGACGATGGATTCCCATTACATTTATTTTAGTTCAAGTTGCCCACAAGTAAACATGTATTGATAATTAGGTCATTAGCTGGAATCATCTATACCAATACAAGAAAACATACCCATAACTTCCATAAATTTTTCATAGTTTTCGCTTTTGTCAGCTTTCCATGTTCCGTTGAATGTCATGATGCTGGCTGTAGTGAGAGATCTAGGAGACACAGAATGTTCAACCTGAGATACCTGCCTGTGTGTCGGTGTCCAATTTATTTTCTTCCTTTATCTAGAAACAGATCTCCATGTGATGTGGCTGTCTAAAGTCTATTTCAAGACTAGGGTGGTAATGGATTTCTCCTCCTCTAAAGTGCCTCACCCTTTTAGATTTAAACCTTATTCACCTTTTTATGTGCAAAGAACTCAAAGAAAATGTTGCATTTAATTTTACAGCTTTAGAAGACATGTCTGGATCTGTTTTTTCTTACTAGGATAAGTCAGTTTCCGTGGTAGAACTGGAAAAACAGCTTAAACTGTCATTAATTCAGGCTGTATTGCAAGATATGGACAGCAGATTGAGCTTAAAGTGAAACTCCAGATGATCTCCTTTCTAATGTTGGATGGCATGGAGAAGAGTAAAATTCTCTATCAAATGTCCTCTCCCTTCCCTCGTTATCACTTTACTTAAAATACATCATTTCCATTAACTGGTTTATGTAAAAGAGGCTTTAAAATAATGAATGAATACATAGTCTAATGCAGCCTTTTATCAACCAGGGTGCTATGGCACCGTGCAGTGTCTTCTAGCTTCCTCAGGGGTGCCTCAAAATATTTGCACAGTGTCATTCCCTTACATGATGCAGACAGGCTTCTGATGTGAAGGGGGCTCCTGAATTAAAGGGGAAACTCTGATGTGAAAGGGAGGCTTCTGATGTTAAGGCGGCCCCTGATGTGAAAGGAGGGGATTCTGATGTTAAAGGAGGGAGCTCATGATGTAAAGTAGGGATCTCTTTTTTATGTGTTTGCATGGGGTTTCTCCTCAAAATCCATACCAGACCTCTATCTGGGATAATGATCTGGTTTGGATTTTGGAGGGGCTACACACCATTTTTTACATTTTAGACTGGAGAGTCTTGAGATTTTGCATACTTTTAAAGGGATCTTTGACTGAAAAAAAGGTTGAAAAACATTGGCCTACTGTTTCAGGATTAGGTTTTTTTAGTTTTCAGGATTATTGCAAGAGGTACAAGTAACAAGAGGTACCTAAAATCAAGGTGGCATAGTAGGAAGTCATATTTTCCAACACACAGGCTGCTTCCACATCTGTACAGATGTGGATCGTGCTTCCTAAATCAATTATTTGTGAACACATTACTATACAAAGCAGATAAAATAGAGCAAAGAGTATTTTCCGGTAAAAACAAAATCTACATTTTTATGTTTTATCCGACAGTGACATGACCGCACGGCCTCCATTCCATCCCTTTTACTTATGGCAGGGGCGTGTCTATAGTAAGAGGGTGGGATGTTTATGACATCACACATACTGGAGAAGTAATTTTCCCAGTCTATGTACTCACTATGGGCAACTGTAATATGACAGCAGGGCTCCTGCTGGGAGCCAATGTCACTCAATACAGCACGGCATGGCAGGGGGCATGTCATCTACAATGACCATGGGTGATACTGGCACACCATATGTTGGCATGGCATCCTGTAACTCTGATACACAGTGTGCCTGTATCTCCTGTGGTAAGTGTAGCTGACACACCCCTTGCCACAGCTAAATGGGAACACAGACACATACATAGACTTTTACATTTAGGGATAACATACACTTTAATATTAATAGTAGCTCTTTTAGCCAATGCATATAATACATTAGTGAGTTATAGCAGTTCTTTCAAGATCCGATAAAACAAACAATATCAGGATATGGAACAGATGTCCGTTCCAAGGGGGAAGGGAATCGGACTTCAAATTCCCAACTTAAATAGCTGTCACTGGTGCCCCCATTGTAAAATCTCTCTTATCTTCCTCTGTTCCTGTGGCAACTGTAAAATGGTGGACTTTCCATCACTGTCTGTCCTTGTGACAATGATCACCAAAACAGAGAGACAGTCCAACAGGAGAACAGATGGCAATAAAAACCTGACAGAGGTTCTAAGACTTCCTTACTCTATCGAAAGGGGAAACATGGCTTTAGATATGCTTTATGTTAAATGGCACTAAAAAAAAATCTTACAAAGAACTTAGTAGATTGTATGACTAGTTTGTACTATCTCACTTTTGTGACACTCAAAGAGTCTTCCAATGTATGTAAAGCCACACTCAACCGCCAGGACCTCTGATGTAAACGTTTGTTCCCAGGAATCTAAAGCTGGCCATACACCTATAGATTATCTGTGGTCAGATGGAAAAAGTGCAACAGATTCCTCCATCTATGCTAAACTGTGAACATGGAGGAATCTCCCACTGGGCCAAGCTTCAGTATCTTGCTAGTCGGCCCCGCTGGCTCTAAAAACACCTGAATAATGCCTGCATCCAATCAGATTGTTCAGGTATTTTCATAGCCAGCGTGGCCGACTAGGAAGATACTGGAGCTTGGCCCAGTGGGAGATTCCTCCAGCCACACAGTTTAGTGGAGACGGAGGGATCTGTTGCACTTTTTCCATCTGACCATAGGCTGATAGAAAAATATCTATTGAAATCTATAGGTGTATGACCAGCTTTAAATGTTACACGCATAAGAAGATCCACAGGTTCTGATATGTTTCACCAAAAAAGCTTAATCATAGAGACTGAGAAAGATCCAAAAAAGAACAAATATAAAGATTACTCAGTTTCCAACACATGTGTGGGCAATGTCATACACGCCTCCCCACAGGGCGCATATTAACTCTTGCTGTTCAAATTCCTCATGGATCTAATTACAACCTCAAGTTTCAAAATGTTGGGACACTGTGTAAAATCTACATAAAAACGGAACGCAATGATTTACAAATCTCATAAACCCGTATTTTATTCACAATCGAAAATAGAAAACATTTCAAATGTTTAAACTGAGAAAATTTACCTCCAGGGACACACTGGAAACGCACCTTGTCCCCATGCCGATGAGGACAAGGGCCTCAACCCCACAACTGCAGCCCGGTGGTTGTGGGGGTCTGCGGACAGGGGGGCTTAACTGTATCTGGGTACCCCCTTTGATAAAGGGGGCACCCAGATGCCGCCCCCTTGTAAATGAGTAAGGGGTAGTGGTTACTCCTACTCATTCACCAAAAAGTTAACTCAAAAGTAAAGTGCCACACAATGTTGGAAAGGCACACCATACACAGATTGTTTTTGCGTTTTTGTTCAATTAAAGTATTTTTTGAAAAGAGTGGTTTGTTTTATTTTGATTTAACTCTTTAGTGCATAAGTAGGGGGGGGTAACAACCACTCCTTACTCATTCACAAGGTGGGGTGGCATCTGGGTGAAGAGCCCTTGTTCTCATCGGCATCGGGACAAGGCACTTTTACAGGGGGCCTGATATTTTGCAGGGAGCTCTTGCCCCCCCCCCTCTTTCCTGCCCTGCCAGACCAGTGCTCTGATTAAGGGTCTGGTTTGGAATTTTAGGGGGGACCCCACTTTTTTTTCTTTGGTTTTAGGGCGTTAAGGGTCCCCCTTAAAATTCCTACCAAACCTAAAGGGTCTGGTATGATTTGGGAGGGATACCCTCCGCTGTTATATTTTTTTCTTCTTTTTACATTGTCTTTTTTATTCTGTACGCTTCCTCTGAGGTAGTGAACAGAATGACCCAGCAGAATTCAGCTATTCACCCTCTGCTGTTCGGCCCCTATGAGAATTGCTGAACATTTGCCTCAGCCGATCCAGATGTTGCCTTGGCTGAGGCGAATGGGCTCTTCCCTTCGGTTTAGCCGTACTTGCTGAGGCTGTTTGGCTGAACCGAAGGGAGGTGAATTGAGCTGAATGCAGCCAATGTATGGCTAAAAATAGCCATACAGAGCTGCTGTGAATGGGCGAACAGGCTTCGGCTCCCTTCACTTCGGCTCGGTTAGCCATTCAGCTGTGTTCGGCAGAAGTCAATAAAGCCTATTTAATTCAGGTCTTTTTTTTTTTTTTTAATCTTACAAAGAACTTAGAAGATTGTATAACTAGTTTGCACCATTTAACTTTTGTGACACTCAAAGTGTCTTATTTATTATTTATTAAAGTGAAGGGAAATACACACATTGCAGTATCACAATCATAATTCATCGTTTAATAATGAATTGACTATACCAAAAATAAAATTTGGTTAAATGTTTAGTGGATTTTAACCAGCCAGAAGGCAATAACGTTGATTTACTAAAGGAGCATAAGCTGTTCACTTAGTAAAGTAAATTTAAACACAGAGCTCCACGGACCTGCGCCATGTCCTGGAGCTCAATAATAGCAATACAGGGTGGAGTGAAGCTACAAAGTCCCAGTGATGTAATCACTGCACAGTGGCGGGGGATAAAGCTCACAAGACCAGACAAGACAGTGATATTAATCTTTTAGAGGAGGGACAAGACAAAAAAAAACCTAATGCTTTGGGAAGAGTGTGCTGGGACAATACACTGACACTAATGCTTTGGATGGGAGGGAAATATACAAATCTTACCCCATTTTTAAAAAGATGGGAATACACTGACCACTGAATACACGGGGGGAGGACTGACCACTAATGTTTTTGGGAAGTGGGAGAATACACTGGCTGCTAAAGCTATGGGGACAGAATACACTGACCACTAATGCTTTTAGAAGACAAATCGTATTGCCACTGAACATAATGGTTGTTGGAAGGGTAGGGGAATATTATTACCACTGGCAACAAATGATTCGGGTTTTTTTTTTACTGCCTGTAAAAATAAGTGTAAGAGCAATATATTACATTTTTATTTCTCTGACCATTGCACTCCATACACTATGTTGTATGCTACATAATTCTGACTAATGTTTTTACTGTTCTAAAGTGGAAGTCCCCCCTATAAATCATCAATGAACATTAAACTGCAATATAACACATGGACCTTGATAAATGCACAGCACAATGTTTGACTTCTGTCCGTAGTCTGGTTGTCCAGCAACCAACACTGGAAACAGCCAACCTTTTATCAGCCACACTACACAACTCATGG